TGAGAAGTGACTGGGATCAGAGTGAGTTGGAACAGGAGTCCCTGGTTCTCCCTGACTCTACTGGGGTGGCTCCCGCAGGGTCTACCACTCGAGATGCTGGGCCAGTCACACTTCTTCACCGTTACCATAGTCTTGGGAGCAACCTGAAGGTGGTGGCTACAGATTATTTATATTTATATCACTAATTTCCAATCTTAACTATTGCTAGACTGAGAAGCCCTTAGAATAGGGCTATAGCAAATAGAAAAATCTTTCTATTCGCTGCTGCACCCCTGCATCTAACACACACACACACACACACACACACACACACACACACACACACACTATTACACCACTGTAGAGAGCAGTGGGGGTCCTCAACCTTTGTAACGCTGCAACCCTTTAATACAGTCGCTCATGTTGCAGTGACTCCCTAACCCATTTTCACTGCTACTTCATAACTGTAATTTTGCTACTGTTGTGGCCTATAATGTAGATATCTGATATGAAGGGTGTTCTTAGGCCAGCCCTGTGGAAGGCTCGGTTGACCTGCCAAAGCCCGTCCAGGACAACCAACTGCATGGAGACCCTGGTTGGAATGTGATTGGAGAAAAGGTGGGCACCAGCTTTAGCCCTTCTTGTGGCCGGGCTCCTGAAGGGTCCTCACGGAAACACTTACGTGACCACGTCTTGCAAGCGCGGCGTGTTTATAAAGGTCCTGTGGCTGTATTTCATGCAGAGCATCTGTGTCCATTGTTTTTGCTCTAAACTGCATTTATAAATTTAGCTGGACACTTGAGATGGCTCCTCATGTCTTCCCTTGCTTAGAGAGCAACCATTTAAAAGTCTCCCTAGTTTTAAGTCACTTTAATATACTTTGAACCAGAAATGTTTTTCTGCATTGTATTAGTTCATTAATTTTTAAAAGGCCTAATATAAAGCCTAGGGCTCTGGGATATGGGATATGGCTGATTGTATTGATGGTTCGTTATTTGCAAGAAATAAGGTTTCCTGTGAAGGCTCTGTGAGTCTGAGCCTGTACCAAGTTCTGAAATGCTGTCACAAAAGAGCCTTCAATGTGGTCTGGGGGTGGGGGGGCGCATCACCACCGGATGGGCAGTGCCTCATGCCATTGCGACACGTGTGCTCCAGGGAGAGATCTGGGTGCAGTGTTGGCCTATCTGTTCCGGCTGTCTTCCTGAGGCTGCCTCATGCTTGCTGTGTTCTGACCCTAATTCTCCCCAGATACATTCCTCCCCCTTCTCACTATGTTCCCAACACCCACGGAAGCACCATTAAAAGTTGGGGCAGATCCTGGGAGACCAGAAAGCTACTTGTCTGTATTTTACACTTCATTCTACCTCAGCTTTGAAGAATTGAGTGGGGCAGCTATTCTTACTCAACTTTCATTAGCCTTTGAAAATCATGCAGTTGGGATTTCCTATAAATGAGACACCTGCTATTGTATTTTAAACCTACTTTATTTACTGACCTGAGAGAAAGACCCAGAGAGCTTGCCATGTCATCCTGACATTCTTACATCTGTTGGCTCTATTATAACAAATCTCTCTGTATTGTACAGACCCAGATTCAACGTGAGCCAAATTATATCTCCAAATATAACATAAAGGAGAGAAATGGTTGCACCAAGTGTCAAGGAGCGGGTAGAAAGACTCATCAAACCCCTGCAAGATGGGAAGTGCACATTTCAGAATGAACTATGTGTGCTCCTGGGGAGCATGAAGGATCCCAGAGAGGTCTTCAGAGGCCTCCATGTACCTCAGCACATACTCCAAGTCCTTGTCTTATGTCCAATGGTACTCAATGAATCCCAGAATGCTGTTCTCCTGAAAGCTTTCTCTCTCAATGCCTCATTCTTTCTTTTCCTTCGAAATTTGCTTCCCTTCAACAACTTTCTGCTGCTAAGTTGATATGAAAAGAAGCGGGGTTAGTAAATTCTGTGGTGAGAGCAGTTCCCCACATTGTTGAGGGTTCAGGCATGGGGTGGCCGCCTTCTTCTCATCCAAAACCCTAGGCATCACAGTTGCTGCCTAAAACCAGTGGCCAGGGACTCTATCCAGAAGAAAAGACCATTGCTGGGTGAATTTCAGTCTCACGGGATTTGATAATCAACTATGGAGTCCCTGTGAGTGACTCAGTTTTGGCTGTGTCTTTAGAGGCAGTGTGGTCTGAGAGAGGCATTTCTGTCAGGCAGGTATCACAATTTGCCTCCCGTCCTCCTCCTCTCACTTTCTCACCTTATTCTACCCAAGCCAGTTAGAAAGAACTGGCTTTTGTGTCTTCTGTTTTCCCATGGGATTTTAAATGAATGAAAGGTGCTGACTAGAATATGTAATAATAACAAAAAGCAGTTCAAGGACTTAGAAATAGGTGGTTAGCAAGTCATCCTTGGTTAGGTTACTTATATCAGATTCTCTAGTTGGGTAAAGCTAATTTCCTCCCTTGGAAATTATACAAAACACAAAGGAATTCTTATTTAGAAACTAGTTTCAGCTAAAGGGGACAAAAGAACATACACCTAACAAGTACAACTCAGTTATTTTAAAAACACTGTCCCCCATTGACGTTAGTGTTACGTTGGCCATCATAGAAATATTATATTTCATTCACATTAATATATTACAAGCCATGGGTAATCTAATCAATGTGTTTTGCAAATATGTAGATTTTTGAGTAAGGTGTCATGGAAAGTGAGGTGCTCCAAATGCACACATTTTCCTCATTCCTGGTCCACACCTGGAGCATCTCCCAGTGAGAGATTTACATGCTGAGAGACCACAGGTACAGTGGCAGGAGGTTTGTGGAACCGTCACAGGGGAAGCTGAGATTTCAGGGTTAAAGGACACCTCATGTTTACCTTTGAAATGCAGTCATTCCTATTTCTGTTTTCATCTCTCCACTCTCATCTCCCGGGGTTTTCCCTGAACCTTGGTCCTCTTTCTTTGTTAATCTCACCTACATTCTTGGCCCTAGATTGGTTCAGTAGCTCACTAGGCAAACATAGCTGCCTAGGAGGTCCCTTTGTTTTGTGAACACCAGTCCTCCACGAATGCCAACGTTCAAACGTTGGAAGAAAAACCTTGAATTGTTGAAGTGTATTTCAACAGTCTTCACTGGGCACCCTATAGGCCTGAGAGCCTGTGATCATAACTGAGCCTTTTTCATTTGCATTTCCTATGTCCACGTTGCTCTCTCCTTGATTCCTTGATTCTATCTCCTCTTCTCTTTGACTCTTTCTAGTTCACTTTCTGCTCATTACTTTTACTGCCATCCTTAGAGCAAACACAATTCCCAGATGGTTATGGGGCTCACATGAAATGCTGAGCACATTCGGTTGCAGTGTTGGGAGTATTTATCGAGCCTATTGCCTATTTGATTAGCTCAAGCCACAAAGTACACTGAAGAAATGGGGTGACACTAAGTCCATTCTTTTATCTTTTTACTTGTACGTTCTGCTGGAGGTGAAGACAACGAGACAGGTAATAAAACCTTTGGCAGAGTATTGTTTCATAAAGGCAACAGTACTCTGTGGAAAATGAAAGCTGGTGGGAAGTCAGGGGACGGGACTGCAGATTTTGCTCTTCCAGAGGCAGGGCAACTGCTAGCAGACAACTGCCTTGACAATGGCCTCACCTCGAGCTGCAATGCCAGTTGTGACACTGCACACATGAAGACGGTGTTTGGTATGTACACTAATAAGTGCTTGAGGCATAGGTTAAATATTAGGCTTTCCATTCGCCTATATGGGGGTTCTGTTACAAGGTTAGAAGTGCTATGAAACACTCCAGGACTTAGCACATGGTAAGATTTGGTGACCCTCTCCTAGAAAGCACAAAGGATCATTATTATAGACACGAAATCTGGCAGCTTAATCCTAGGCTTCCATGCTTTTGGAGTCAGAATCTACAGGACTTAAGCAATAACGTTTCCTTTGTACATAGTTTTCTTATTTGAAGAGAGGCTTTCTGAACTCTCCTCTTATGGTAATGGATTTGCCTGTCTCTAGTGGCCCTGGGCAGTCATGGGTAAGCATTCTTCAGCTTCCTCCTCAAGTGCTATAGGGATTTTGATGATCAGGAGAGAACCTGAAGTGTGTATTTCCCAAAACATAGAAGTCTCTAACGCCAGAGTCAAACATAAAGAAAGGGACACGTCCTCTTACTGTCCTTTAACAGACACCATTCCTCAGCTAGCCACTAAAACAGGATGACAAATCCATCACGGGTCCCAAGGGCAGCTGTGAGAGCGAGCCTATCAACACCCAATTTCATGGTATCCACGCTGCAAGAGACAGAGAGAATTTTGTTTCCCACTGAAAGAACTCACTCAGATATTACAGGTTCTGTACGAAAGGATTTTCTTATGAGGCTCTTCCACCAACAGCACTTTTCTAATGATATATTAAGGATTTCTGTTAAGCAATTCTTGGCTTCGTAAATAATTCCTTTAAATTATTTGAGTCTATTTGTAATTCAGAGAAGAGCTTCATAGAAGTGTTAAAGAATCAGAATCTGTTATGTCATTCTCTCAGAAAACGTTATCCCCCAACTCTTCACTGAGATTAGAGGATAATACATATGTTATATATATTATTAACATAATAATATATATTATTAACAGGTTTAAAAATCCCTTATCCAAAAGAACCTGTAACACAAACCAAACATAAAAGGAACAGAAAGGAATAATACCACTGTTTTATATCCATTCCTTGATTTTTGCCTGAACATGGGACCAACAGTCTTTGCTTATTTTGATACATATATACTTATATACACACATATATTTAAATATATATATTTTACAACATGGAATGGCAACATATCAAATGTTTACATTCTGTGCTAACACATACTCCTTCCTGTGAGGGAAACATATCATATTACAAAAATAAATCATGGAGAGTAACATGCAACATCCAAGGGGGAGGAAGGTGGGGTTGGGGCAGGGGAGTGGGAGGGACAAGACAATGCCAAAGAACAAAAAGTGTCATTGACCTGATTTGTCAGAGCTGTCGCCTGTGACTGGCCTGACGGAGCAGCTGGGATTAGCCTTTGCGCTGTCCTTGGAAGAAACCATTTTGGGTTTATTTTTCGTTGCCTCTAGTGCTTTGACCTTCTTGGCATGTTTACTTCCTTTGTAGTGGGCCTCGGCCTGGCTCTACAAAGGAGAACAAATCAGGCTCATTGTTTTGCTACTTACAAACACCACGATGGATGAGCATGCAGGAAAAAAATACAGTCAGTCATAGGTACCACAGACATTTACAAGTGAGTGCTTGACTACATTTCTGGCATTTATCTAAGAGGTTTCAACATATCCAGCCTTGCTGTCTGCCAGAGGACTTGTGTCTTTGAAAACCTAGAAATGCCATCAGTAGACCACAGGATCAAAAGCATGAGGACGGTGAGGTGGGTCAGCAGTGCCCTCTCACCCCTGCTCATGCCGGGGAGGATTGCTTTCCTGACATTTGGCTGGCAGCATCCACGCTGAGCATCCTATCCAGCCTTGCAGACATGGATTTCCGCAGTCACCACTGCTCACTCCATAAAGCCTGTCTGCTCCGCACCTAGTCTCCTGTGGTCTCTGCTCAGAGAGCGGCTAGAGTGACGAAGTGACAGGCCGAGGGATGCTGCTGAGTGAAGATGGCACTACATTCTGAGGCATCTACATGCCTTATCGTGCATGATTCCAGTTCCAATTATAGCTCATGCCACAAGGGAGGTGAGGACAGTCCTTGATCTCAGATGGGATTCTCACATCAAAGCAGTTAGCATTAAATTCTCATACATAAAGTGTATGTAGCACTGTGACTTCGATACCAGATCAAAGGAAGTAGAAAGCGAGACAAGAGACAACCCTAAACTACAATAAACCTAGAAGACATTTAGTTAATTTACTGACATTTGGAAAGCTAACCTCCATCTAAACAAGATCTTTTTGGCATCTTGAATTACTGTATACAATGAAAAAAATAAGTAAATATATTCATTTGAATTTCGTTCTGAATAGACTGAAAAATAAACACACACATGTAGTAAAACCTAAACAAGACACAGTGAATATGCTGGTTTAGGTATAAAGCGACATACATGAGAAATTTTATGTAAACAAGATGGGGGTTTATTAGAGGATTTTTAAGCTAATACTTTTTCCTTTGTCAGTTTTCATTAGAATCTGAGTGTGTCTAAAAAGGATCAAGGCCACCAAAAGTTCATAGGACCATGAGAAAACAGGTACAATGCAGATCCACTCATGAGGAAGTGGGCAAAGGCGGCATGAACAAAGGCAGAGCAAAAGCAAAAAGGATCATCGTGAGTAGTCTTGAGGAGATTTCCTAAAATGGGCAGCTTTTGAGTGAACGTCTGAAGGAAGAGTTACACATGAACTGGTAGAAGAAAGTGCACGTTTGGTGGGAGAATGCTGGCCAAGGAAACAGAGGCGTGTGTACAGCTGGAGCAGGGTTTACACTGAATACGTGATAGACTATCTACAAGAGAAGGCCAGTGGTAGCCAGGCGTGGGAGCAGGATATTGCAGGGATGGAAGTCTTCAGCAAATGCATGATGCCACAGATTCCCCGTGGGGAGGACTTCTAGCAAAGCTGATTATTATGTTTATTGACTGATTATGAGAAAGGGACAGTGGACGAGGAAACATGGTGAATACAGGCTAATCTGGGGGTTAAAATCACGAGTATATGAATTTAACAAATTGTTCCCGTTATAATAGTAGCCCAAGTTCCTGGAAACGTTACTCAACACCACTCCTGTAGTCCTTTGCTTAAGTGAAGCCAACGGGTTTACTGGTCATTACTCAATATAGAGTGTTCTTCCAAAATGCCACATTAGCCTGAGTGCCATCTGAGGGCATGTGTGTGTGGAAATGTTTTCCTGACTTCCCGCCTTGTTTTGTTCCAACTCAAGCAGAAGACACGTAACTTCACCATCTTCAGCAATTTAGCTCACTTGTTTCTATGGTGACTATGAACAGCACTTCAATGCCCCATCACTGGGCAGCACCGTGGGGGGAGGCCTGGTTTAGCTGAATGCACCTGTGATGAGATGAAGGTAGGTGGGCGTTCTGCTGAGCTCTAGCAGTCTGAAGATGAGGGAAAGACGCAATGAGTCGAATGTCCTACCTGCACATTTGCTGTCCCATTGGAGTGGGAACTCAGTGGTTTTCGGAGCTCTCTGAATTTGTTGTGTTTTTTCATGTGGGCTAGAAAATGGATGTGAAAACAGGGATTTGCTGCCTTGACAGAAGTGTAATCAGGGGGTGGGTTTATTTTGCATTACAACTAAAAGTACTTCCATGACTTCCCTTGTGTATGACCCTTGTCCCCCAAGGCCCGTGGTAAGCATACTTCTGCTTTTCTCAGTATTTCCCAGCAATTGTAATTTCAGTTTTTCATTGACTTATCATTGCTCTTACTCAGTAGGCTGACAGATTTCTCATATTCTTTGCCAAAGTTAAAAAAAAATTCCTATGGAAAAAGAAAAAGCGTACTTAAGACTTTCTTCTGTTAGCCAAGAAAGGTGAAGTCAAGGATAGCTGTGTAGTTCTGGTCATGTTCAAGCTGCCAACTTGCCATAGCTCTGAGTTATCCTCAGAGGGAGTCTCAACTGGGGGATTGCCTTGATCAGATGGGCCTGCAGGCACATGTCTGGGGCATTTTCTTGATTGATAATTGACTTAGGTAGGAGTCCTAGACTGTATAAGAAAGACGGTTGAACAGAACCCAGGGAGTGAACCAGGAAGCAGGGTTCCTTATTGGTTTCTGCTCTAGTCCCTGCCCAGACTTCCTTCAGTCTTGGATTATGACCTGAAAGTGCCTTCTTCCTCTAAGCTGTTCTTGGCCACAGTCTTTATCGCAGCAACAGAAAGCACACCAGAACAATAGGCATAAGCTAGGAAAATGAATGCAATTTAAAAGTGCCTAATGGAAATAATAGTGATGACTAATGTTCCTGAGCACTGTTCCAGGCTGGGCGCACACTGCATGAATTAGCCCACTTGATCCTCACGGTATCTCGTGACAGACTGCTTTCTCAGCCAGTGCCTCACAAATGAGAAACTATATACACTAAAGGCAGACAACTCACCAACAGCCACAGAGGGTGTCTGGAAGGCATCTGGTAGCCAGGGAGTGTTTAGATGGCTATCTCCATCTAATTATGTACCCACACGCAGATGCCTACGACTGCACTAAGTTCGCACTGTAATTCTGTTAGCACTGAAAAGTTACAAAGGAAGCACACTGCTTTAAATAACACATGAAGGCCTTAGACCTTATCACTGCCGAAATTTCTATGAGTAGGAAATAGCTACCTAATTTTGGAGAAAGATAATGCATTAGCCCCAATCCTTTTAACGAGTAGCTGAGAAAGCCCCAAAGTCCCACTTTTTTGTTATATACTAATTTCTACAAGGTACTAAGCTATCCCACTGCCCCTTTTAAAATTTGAGAGAGGCTCTGTAGCCAAGTCTAATCTGCAACTCACTATGCAGCAGAAGCTGGCCTTGAACCCCTGACCCTCTGCCTCCTTGTCCCAAGTGCTAGAATGACAAGCACATGGCACCATGCAAGGTTCTAAGTACACTTTTCAATACCTCATCTTTTCAAGTGCCCTGAGTGGTTCAGGGTTATTTAGTGCCCTTTGGCTCAAGAACACGATTCTCTTCTCTAAATATAACTTTCAAGTACAAGATGAACAGAGCGTGATTTCCTTATTACTATTTCCTGGCATCAGGGCAGGGAGCTAACAGCGTCAGCCAGCACTCGAGATAAAGACACAGCTATGTGATATCTCACTGCACGTGGAGGTCTCTTCCACAATGTGACCCGATCTTCTTCTGAGTTTGGGGCATGGAGAAGCAGGCATCTAGGGTCTGTGGCTCCCACTGACTGGCATTTGCAGCAAGTGAAGTAGCTGATGGAGGAACAGACAGCGTGGTAGGCACCCTCCCTCTCACTTGGCACACCTCTGCTTCCCTAGGACATTCTTGCTGAGTGGCGCTTTGCTGTCCTTGGTACTTTATCTGATGCAGTGTCAACAGCTTTGCCTCCTGGGCAGATCTTCAAGCGAAAGTGAGACACTGTTAAGTAGCAACAACACTGACCCTACTTCATTAGCAAGGAAGCACCTTAACTGAGGAGTGAAAGAGCCAAGGACGAGAGCCAGGGAGCTCATGGTACCAGGTGACACGCAATCAGACAATGGACCTGCTGGGCCGGGCTGACTTTCCTAGCAGCCCAGGGACTGAGCAGCAGCAGATGGCCATCTAGTGCCAATGGCGTCAAGGGCGCTGCTGTAACCCCACCTGGCGGTGCCCAGTGCTTGCAGATGTGGCTTAGCAGTAGGGCCCGCGCTTTGCTGCACAGAACCTGGGTTTGAGTCCAAGCAGTGAAGAAGGAGAAGGCAGAAGAGAGCCCCTAGGAAGAACTGCAGACATAGTAAGGGTTGCTGGAAGGACCACCTGACCTCCACCTAGGGTCTGATGGCCTCGTACTTTACAGACCATGTCTATAGCTCCCGGGACACCCAGTGTCCACTGGCAAAACCGCCTTTGCAAGACAGGACATCCAGGCATACATTCCCCTCCCCCCCCCATTAATTCTCTTCAGTACCAAGACCCTTCGATTTCCCAAATCCTCAACATTTCTCAGAACTCAGAACCTCACTGGTCCGAATAAAAATGACAATGAGTTAGACATGGTTTTGACTGAAGATTAAAAATGTAACAAAGTATTCCCTGGGAGACATTTTAAAATCTATAGTGCTTTCGCCTCCTGGTTTCACTGAAGGTCTAAGTTCTGCCTCCGAGAAGTAGGGCTGCCATCTCCAGTCATGATGTCAAATCAGGCTCAGTGTGTGTGGAAAGGCGGACTCTCAGAATTATGGGAAGTGCCTAACTCTCCACTTACAGGACAGACCTCTTTGTGTTTAAAGAAATAAGCAAACCTGTTTCCCCGATTAAAGAAAATGGACCATCTAAATTGTGGTATCTCCTTCTCTCCTACCTTAGGTACCAATGTGCTCAGCAGCATAATGAGGGAGGGCAGCAATGGTTAGTTAATGTCAGACCAAGTTATGGCTGTAGGGGGTGGTCAGTTAATTTTAAACAAGCAACAATACATTATAAATAAAACATCTAAAT